GGTGGGTTAACACTCATTTATAAAGATTGATGTCAGAAATTAATGTCAAAACAGTAATGAAGCCTTCACTTTTCAAAATGGGACAATTACGAGCAATATTTCCAGTAGGTTGTCAGTTACACTGAGGGATGAGCTCCTGGGAAAAGTCAGGAGGATTTTCTCACTTATACTTGTAGACACTCCATCCGGATTCGGTGTCTGTTTACAGATGTGGATGTGAGCTCAGGCAGAGGGTTTAGGGAGGCGATATGGAAATAGAGGATGAGGACTTAGTGATGCAAGGCGAACCTTAAGCCCCCCCAGTGCACTCCTGTGTATCAGACTTCAATGACCGTAGCCCTGTGGAGCACGTCGGTACGCCTCAATATGTATGGAAATGAGAGGCAATCATGCTAACGTGTGTTCAGTCTCTCCAAACATGCTAATGGTGTCTATGCACTTTCAGCCCTGCATTACCCCTCAAAACATTTCACCCCTCCTTAGACCTTTTGCTCTCTCTTTGTCTCTTTCCTGACCTGGAACAGGTGTGGTTTTAATTATGCATTAAAATATACGTAAATCTAGTCTGATGCACTTGACTGAGCTCCTCCTCCTGCAGTGTGTATCCAACCATCTCTGTTTCCCATTCCTTCTCTATCCTTTCTTCTTCCTTCCTTTGCCAGCTCTACCCAAAAATCTCCCTCCCTCTCTTCTTCTTTTAGAAGTTGGGATTGAAGGACTCGATTTCAAAACCGTGCACGTCTCTGTGACTCAAGTGAGGGGTTTGTTCCGCTGCCACACTTCCGTTCACAAATGCTCCAGCATGGGGAGGAGGGAGGAGGGAGAAATCCCTGTTAATCTAGTGAATCTGGCTCTCTCTGTCTCTTTTGTTCACTGTTACTGGGACTCTGATGCACTGATCTCTTGGGAGGCAAGTGTTGTGTGCGAGGTTGGGTGAGTTGGGGGGTTACTACACAGTTTAGTCTACATGGGGTAAAGGAGTCTAATATCTCACTCGTTATGCAATCTCAGTTAAAAAGAAAAATATATTATTCACTGAAGGGATTATGGATGATAAACATTTTGTACCTTCCTGTTTGAATCTGGAATAGCTGTGCCTATTTGCTGTAAGAGATGACTGTGTTGAAAGCAATACTGAACTGGAATAAGAACGAAAAGAGCATTACCGACCGGCACTACCGGTAGAACTTGGGCCTCTGTAATCCGTTACAGTTAATATGTACTAACAGTTACTAACCAAAATGTTCTGTTGGTTTGCATCTTTTTGCCTTGCAGGAATGCCTTCTTTTGGCATTTTCCGGACAATGCCGGTCAACGCCATCAAGGGTAGGATGGCTTCCAACAAGTTGACTGTACATCTACAGGCTCTACTCAGTGGGCAGTATGTGTTCAGCCCAATCAAATTAAATCAATGTGCATTGCTCTCCTGGATGTATTAAGGAAAAACTGCATACACCGTTGAGGCGGTGCTCCATTCGTTCCTATGAAAGTTACTCAGTGGCGCATGAAGCCAAAAAAACCACTGCCTGCTGTAAAGAAATTACCTGGATTAATGCATACTGCGTCTGCTCTATGGGTCGCTGTGGCCAGACCTTTGGTGGCCGAGCTCACTTACTACAGGTTTAGACCTCTGCTGACATAAATGGGGTTGAAATGATTGATTTGTGCAGCTCTTCTAGTCTTTATAAATGTTATCAAACCAAATGGATCATATTCTAATTTCTTCATTTTGCAGGGGTTGTGACACTCAAAAATGTATCCAAAATAAAACATTTGTTAGTAAAGTAACAAATGTAATAACTATCACTCATGAAGTAATTAAAATAGTTACATTTGTTTTTTGCATTTTTAACAGGGTAGCTAGTAATCTGGATCGCATTTCAAAAGTAACCATCCTAACACTGCCCATCAAGATAGAAGAGGAGACTATAAGAAGAACTATTTTTACTGGGAGAAATTCAGGACAACAATGTGTCATGTTGTTATCTTTAGAAGTTAATTTACTGCTCTAATTGCACTGTAGCTATATACTGTAGAGGAGGTCATGCAAATGATTTAGCGCAAGCACACACAAAATTAATATGCTACTTCACTGGCACATGTGCCAAACTCAGCATTGGATATCATATTTTAGCTGTATTCCTTTAGGCACTTGCATGTGTTAAAGCTTGCTGTAATCCAAGTGCCTGTTTCCCTGAAGTCATACGATGCACTTGGCCTGCGTCAGAGGTGTTGCGGGGAGGGGGGTGCTTGTTTTGTTGATCTGTGTTTAATGAAAGTGACCACGCAGAGCGAGTTTGGCCATTAGCTCAGCAAGGGCCTGTAATCACTACAAGTTGTTTCCCTTTCTTCATGCAGTTCAGTATTGAACAATCTGTGGGGAGAAAAGTGTGTGTACCTGCCATCTTCTTTCTCCCTCGTTTTATTTCCCTCTGCAAGACTGCACTTTGGAAAGTATTGATTTGGTGGCTTGAAAATAACAAACCGGCAACTGTGCGAGTGGGGTAATAAACAGGCTCCGGAAAAAAAAGTACCCATGAAGTGTTTGCCCTGAAATAATTATCAGCTACTGTATATGCTTGGATTCAGGGTTGATTGCTCTTGCTAGTGTGTGCCACCCTCCACCTGTTGGTAGTATGAAAAAGTACCTGGATCCTAGATTGGGAAGATAGTTTATGGCACAGTGCCCAGGGCAATGTCACTGGACTACATAGACTTGAAGGTATTTGGTTGTGTAGCAGGGTAGAAAAGACCTTGAAACCCCCAGCAGGATGAATTTGAGTCATCCAACAGACCTCAGCTCTTGGCTAGTGAAAAAGTCAAAGTGTGAAGCATGGCCTGGGCTGTCTAACTCTGTGTTCTCACTGATGGCATAAAATAATACAACATATACACATATCAAAGAAGCTTAACATATTGTACATATACTCATGATTTCCGTAGACAGATTCACATGCACACAACAATGATGCATCAACTTTGCACAATATCAGTGATTCTCCAGCTGTTAGAATATTTTTATCCACACAAAGTAGCTTACTTCTTTTCCAACTAGTTAAGTGATAAACATACACACTGAATATAATTTCCCATCACTCATTCACATAAATACACACAGACTCACCAGACTCTGGCTGGTCTGTTTCTATTAATGGTAATCAGCAGGGTAATGATGACGGAGCTGTGACTGCGGCTTACTTACTGGTGGCTGATCGCCATGCTCTCTGACAGCTGTCAGCCGCCATGACTACGCTGCCAGGGTCCTCCTTAGGACTTATTTCAGCTCACCACATCAGCTGCAACAGCACTTCACACACAGACTTGTTGATTATCTGCATCAGCGGCCGGCGTGGAAAGACTTCTCTGACCGCCTGTCTGTTAATGACAGCCACCATGATGGTGGATGGGAGAAAGAGGACACAGCCTGTCACTTTGATTCATGCAATAGCAGTTCCAACTGGGTGGCTCCTCGCCAAAGTCTCGACAGTCGTTATATCCCCTCCTAAATGACATTTAAAGTGTGAAGCAATGGCTGTCCTTGTGGCTCAGTCACCCTAGGCCGGACCCCGTACATGAGTGCTGAACCCTGTGCCAAGTTTTGCATTGAGGTCACAAACCCTAGAGCAAGTTTTCCCTGCTCAGATGCTTGCACTCAACTTGCTGGCATTATGGAATATTTGCAAAGTGACCTTGAAGATAGCTGTTGTCAATGATCTGATATAGCATGCCTAACTTTCTTTTTCATTCCTTTCTGTTTTGTTTGTTTGTTTTTCCTCTCTACAGCATTACCTCTGCCCCTCATCCCGTTTCTCCCTAATTTATTTCAGAAGCAAATGTTTTGGCATGACATACATGTATCTATTCCATAATTTTTTTCCATACACTTTTAAAGCTATTGATATAATATGAAATAATAAATCCAGAAATACTGAAGGGTAGGGAAAGAAAAGTTATTGGTAGCTCCAAATAACAAAATTAAAAGTACCCATAATTAAATTGCAAAGAATTTAAACTGCATTTCACAACAAAATTAAATCCAACATGGGTCTAATAATACATTTTCTTGCTTGGGCAACATATGCAATGCGTGACATGGCTTTGTTGGTTCTGCAGGCTTCACTATGGCCACGGCATGCATATTCATAAACTTGGTGTATGCCATGTGACTTTATTCAAGCTGGGAAAAAATGTTAAAGACTTTGTAAAACTATTTATCCAGTGGTTTGATTTTGTTGTTATAGGAAGTGGTGTGGTAAAGACAGTACTTACAAGAACCTTGCTGTAGTTACATATATAGAAAAATATCTTTAAAATGATATGTATTTCCATCACACAAGGTTTAGGTCATAAAATACTTGATTGTCAATGGCACATATTAACAACAGAATAAAGAAAAAAAACAAAATTTCAGTCAGACAGCAGTTTAGTGTAAATTGTGCAGTGCTACATTGACTCTTAGTTTCTAAGGAGGATGAATGATTGCAGAGAAAAATAAATGGAGGAGAAAAAAATGGAACATCTTAGAAGCAAAAGACTAGATCACAGATGGGTCCTGTTTTAAAGCCTAATCTTTCCACATAAAGCACAATAGTAAAGGTAAACAGAAACTGAATTACCAAGAAAAGCTAATAGTAACTGTATTTATATTTTTCACATGCTAAGTTTGAAATGCATAATTTTAGATAGCATATTGTCACTCTATTGTAAAACTTCTTTTGTTGGCGTATTGTGTGCAACGCTGCATTGTTGGCTGAAAACACTGTTGTCTCCTCAGAATAAACCCCTGGAGAAACACGAATACGGTGTCCTCAAGGCCTCTTGGACTTTTGGACTAGCTTACTTGCTTTTAGATCCAACAAGGCAGATTTTGGTTTTTCCTTTCATGTCTTTCACATAACAGATGATTTGCTTCCTAAAGTGTTCTTTTATTCAATTACTGCAACAATATTATGCGCAATTAAAACGCACACTAACGCCTCCCTCCATAACTCTGTCCACAGTCTATCCGAGAAGTGACAGGCTATGTGTTGGTGGCCCTGAACCAGTTTGACTACCTGCCTTTGGAGAACTTGAGGATCATTCGAGGAACCAAGCTGTATGAGGACCGCTACTCCCTCGCAATCTTTCTCAACTACAGACGTGATGGAAACTTCGGCCTACGCCAGCTGGGTCTGAAAAACCTCACAGGTGAGTGAATTAATTATTTTCTGGTTACTCACATTTGTTGTGTTGTCTTGTTGTGGGTATTTGTGAGTATTATGAGTGCCTTTTGAGAACTTCAGTATGTGGTCAGTCTAAACTTGAGCCCAGTCTTTGAAAAAACGTATTTTTTATCTGAGATCAAACGTTTAGGATTCTATATTTCCATGCCTCCTGGAGCGTGTGAGTGTGCATGTTTACTCTTTCATTCACCACCTGCTGGGAACTCCTAACATGTTAGGACACCTCTACCGCTTTCTTAATTTCATTTTTAGTTTAAGAAACCAGATAACTAAGCCTACATTTTTGATCAAATGAACATCATTCGGAAACTTTAGCTATTGGGATAAGTTGAAGCTCACCACGGATAGATGGTGATAGATAGATGGTCCATCCAATCACCTGCCAAGTATTTTTTGAAAGTGCCTGCCCCAAACAGTTTCAAACAACGACTTCCCAGATTGTTCTGTGTAACAAACCATCTGGTGCATCAGGTTAGCTGATGTCAGATATTTATACATATATTGTATGATATTTATACTGCCAGATATATATATATGGGCAGATGTTTTGCTTTTACAGTGAGGTATACTGTCCAGCACGAGTAACACAATGTGCTCCAAAAATTGTATGAAATGTCACTTTTTATCATTTACAGTTAGGTCAGAAGCAGTCTCAGCAAATGGTGGCAGTCCTCATACCAGTGTGAGCTTAATGAAATGGGAACGAAAGGTGACGGTCAAATGAAAACAGCCTGATATTTCAAAAGCAGATTTTTATTTATTTTTATTTTTTTTACCATGTAGGTAACAGCTAAGAGGTGGATTAAGTAATTGCTTGACAGACTCTTACCTGAGACTTGTGAGACATTATTCACTCCACTCACTTCATTACCATCAAGTTGCTATCCTTGTGCTATCCTTGACGTTAATGATTTCAAAAGTGTTACAGCTGATTTCAACTATGATCCCACTGTTGAGTAACCACTGTTAATCAATAATTGATTTGCCTAGTACAAGGCTGTCCACCCTTTGTTTTTGAAATGATGCTGACTAGCAACAGGTATTACTATTGTTTCACAATGATTTAACAATAAACTGGTAAGGATATCATCAGTGTCATCAAGAAAATAGATCAAGGGCGTAACAGATGATTTAGGGGTGCTTTCAGAAAGTCTTTCACAAAAAATACAATTGCATATATGATACATGATATGAGGGTACAAACACATGTTATTTAATGAATTGGCTAATGTACTGTAGTTGTTTATTTGCTTTGATCACCTTCACAGAAAATGGGAATATGCAGACAGTCTGCCTCTTCTCCAAAGTACCCAACTGGTGCTGTTATCACAATTAACCCTCTCACACGAAGGGGTATGATGCTGACTTGCAATGTTGTGAAAAAACTTAATCTCTTCGGTTATTTACACCCATCACCCTTGCTCATACAAAAAATCTTGTCTGATTTACAACCCACTCAGCAATCGGATCAAGCATGTTTCCTCAGAAGCTGGAGAAGATAGTGAATGTGACTGCTGATAAACAGCGTACTAAGTAGGAAAATATTGTGTGGGTGGCTTCGCTTCTTTATGAACAATGGATCCTTGTGCTACTAGGTTTCCTTCAGCCGCCCTGATGCTGAGGTCAGTAAGAAATGAAGCCCTTGACTTGCAAAAAAGACGTAGAGCTTTTCCAGTACAGGGCTAAGTGGGGCATGCCAGGGCCAGGAACAGCTCATGATTTGTTCAACACAAGGGCAGAGGTGTTATTTACTCATTTTAAAAGCTAAATTCAACCTCACAAATCTTCTAAGTGAAAATGGAGGGAGAATCAGTTTGTGTTTTGGCAAGTAAAAGTGTTATCAGTAAGTCCTGGTCAGTTGTATTTTGTCCCAGTTGTATTTTGTATTTAGTCCGCCCATGCAGTGATAACATAAATTAATTCCCTTATTATCTTTTACACATAGAGAAGCAAGAGGAATACAATTTGAATGATTTATTAGGTAGCACCACAAAGTGCCATGCATGTCCTTGTTGATGGTGAATGCTTGGAAATGACTATTGCTCCTTATTTCTCTATGGGAATGAACTCCCAGTGCAATCAGGTTGGTCTGGTGGCATACACTGAAGCTTGTTTTGGGAGCAGTATTACACAAATGCATGAATATATGTTTAGCGTGATGACAAGTATGTCAAGGAAACACTGAGGCAATATGAGAAAGACAATGTCATCAGTTTTACAAGAATTCAAAAATTATCTTTGTATTGAGAGATTTAAATTTATCCCAAAAAAAATTATTTAGATTTTCTTAAGGAAGAGGCATTGCACTTAGATTGTGTCTCTTCTGCTTCCAAACCATCTTTCTAAATAATTCAGTTGTCTCTCATTGTTCTCTTCAACTGTTCCTTCCCTGTGATCCCCCAGAGTCGAAACAACACATCCATGAATGAGTGCATGTGTAGCAACAGTATGTGCTTGTGTGTTATGTTCCATCTTGTATTCTTTTTCGCATGTTGCGCCATACTTAGGGAATTGCTTTTGTCCAGCACCACCAGCAGCTTTTTTTTGCCAAGCTAGTCCTCTTCATTGTGGTGCCAAGTTGAAGCCAGTGCTGAGGGAGTCAGGGCTGGCCTCTGTGAGAAGCTGCTGTTTGATGTGCCATCCGTGGCCTCAAGCCATGAAGTAGAGGGGAAGTTATGCACAACAGCCATGGCCTGAATCTGCTCTTCTTCATAACTCTGTTGAATTTCACTCTATTATTTTTTGTTCTTGTTAACGAATAGAATAGAACAGAACAGAATATTCAAATTTTCTTGTTAAAGGGGACTTATAAAGTTTTTTTTCCCCTATTTTCTTTCATATATAAAATGTTACAATGTTTATATTGAATGTGGAAAGTTTTAATAATTAAGCAAATAGTGAGGTAAACGAAAGTAGTAATCAATGTGAGCGAAAAGCTCAGATTTCAGATTGAACGTTTCCAAGGGTTTTTTCTACTTTATTTGACAAGCTGAAGTCAGCTATGCCAGAGGTCTCCAGTGCTGCCCTGATTTTCAGTAACCAACTGAGGACCCAAATCACGAAAATATTGTGTCCAGGTTGGGGTCGGGTACAAAACGGCCAAATTTCTTTGATACAAAAAATTACTCTTAAGGAGTAAATATCATCAGAGTCAGCGCCAATAAGCTCACAGCAGGAAATACACTACACTCAGAAACAGGGCTCACAGTTTTATTTATTTATCGCAAGCTGCTTATCTGCACAGATAACTAAATTAACTTTTTAGCTAGCCAGTGCACCTAACCTGTATTTTCTTGTCGGTGAGTCCGTTCAACACATCGTCCACCTGGATGGAAGCCATGGCTTGTCCTCTCCTTGCCACCACGAGTATGGATAACCTGGAGCTACTCTTTTCAGCCGTGGTTGCTCATTGATTGGTGGCACATCATGCTGCCACCAGTGTTGGTGTTCTCTCTCTTTTTGGGTCTGTTTGAGTCGACCACATTTTGTATGAGATCTAAATATGCTTGAGACCAGTTCTGATTGTCTTCAGGTCTCATTTCCATCAGGTATCTTTTTTTTAAAAATGTATATGCATGTCAAGTTTGGGTAGATAGGGCTGTCAAAAATGTAGGCCCTTGAATACCAACTTATCTCTTTATAGAAAAAAACTTGTCTTGGAGGGTCTATCATATCACTGCTTTTTACACACATGGTCCTGACAGTTAAACAAACTCTTGCTGGGGGGAAGAAACAAGTCACTTGTGTCCTAGTTTGTTCCGTTGCAGTTGTCATCATTCTACAGTGTACTGTTGAGGAAGGATATGAGCCTAAACCATCAGGATGGATCCTCTCCTATACATCAAGCAGCACTGATCAAAACTCTTTCCTTCCTTCAAGTGCTTTAGTGAGTCCAAGCTAGCTGTCTTATTCATTACAAGGCCTTTGATGTTACTTTATGTTACTGTCATATTGGTCCACCGTTTCTCTGCTCGCAGCTCCCAGGAGAAGTGTAAAATGATCAATATAATCCATAAGCAACACATATAAGAGGATAAAACGTATTAACTACATAAGAGGCTAATCGAGAGAAAGGAACAGTAAAAGACCCCTTCAGTGCTGAAACCCACCCGCATTTCTATTTGGGTTGAAATTGCCTTTGGATGAAATCAATTTGTCGCTAGTACATTGTAGCATTGCACTTATTGATTTCTCTGGTGCACTCTCTGCGAGATGTGAATGGACTCTCTGGATTTGAGGGGACCGGGGGATGTGGTGAAGGAGGTCTCTGGCTGAGCAGGGATAGGACTCCCTCCGATGCACCTTTCAATCAAGCTTAGCTAAGTTATCCTCATGAATATGAAATATAAGGCACAGTCAAGCCGGGAAAAGTTTAGGGATGGTGTGTGTGCACAGGGGTGTATAGAAGTGAATAAGAAATTTAAAAGACACTTTTGCTTAAGTGTGGAAAGTTTAGTTGTGTTGTTTGTTTGATTACTTTTTGGGGGCAAAAATCTGTTTAACAAGTGACATTGTGAGGACTCATCTCACATACGATGACAAAAAGCTGGTCCCTGAAAGGTTACCCATTTTTTAGGCTTTTTGTGTGTACAAGTGAACCTCCTGATTTCTGCAAAGAAAAGCTTCAAATAAGTACTTCTTTCTACCTTTTGTCCTATAGCCAAGAAAAAGGTTAAACAGAGCCGCCTCCTGACATTTTCAAAGTTCCTAATCTGTATTTTGATGCACGCTGACCCGCAGTGTCTTCCTTCCTGCTTAGGCAAACATTTTCAGCACTTCCGTCTGGATTCACATGAACCCCGGGCAGCCTCTGTGCTTTCACATGGTAATTACAGCCTGCTTTCCTGGCAAAATAATAACAGCCTCAATAAGGAGCACAACACAGATGAGCTTTCTGATTTAACGCATTTTACTGTCCCCCCCCTTTTCCTCATTCCATCCAGTATCGTTTTTTTTTTTTTCAGA